AAATATATGAACGCTATATTTAGAGTCATCGTCTTTGCCGGCGAGGACGGTGTCGTGTATTAGAGTGATAATGAGGTAAGAATGGAGCGGCAGGAACTGTAAGGAGGTTTATTACAATTATGGGGTCGTCTGGGTCAACAAGACCATATCTCGGATAATGTTGTCGCGTTAGGGCGTGGCTCCTCCTCTACGTAGTCGACCGTACCGACCACGAGGAAGTTCGGATGTGACTAGGCGGAATTGAAGTAGCGTCGAGACGCTTCCTTCAAGATATGATAAGTAGTAGTTACTCGTAATGGATAGTCGTGATATGAACAAACCATTGCGAGCCAGTTCGTATCATTTGTAATGCTGCAATAAAACAGTGGCCTGGTCAAATAGGTAGGTACATCAGAATGGAGCGGTCACAAGTTGTGTATAGTGTCAAATTATTGTTAAATTGTTAACTTCCTCCTATCGACCCTCGTCCAAGTCAAATGGGGATCGAAAGTTGCGACATCCAGAGCTGAGGTTCGAACCCCAAGCGGTGCCCTCAGACTAGAGTCAGACGGTATCCGTCAGGCGGGAGTTGCCCTTTAGCCGCTCCATAAATCCTTCTGCAGGTTTTGGCGTGCCATCCGCATTCGCCTCTTGGTGGAGCGGTAGGCCAGCTGCGACCAACAGCATTAGACTAGTCAAAAAAATGTTAAATGACATTTTACTATGGCTAATTAAGTAGCCTTCTGAGTACTATTGCGTATATGCTATATCTTATACTGTATTGTACTTTTGAATTAAAATAGTACATGAATATTAAAAATAATATGAGCAAATATGGGAGCAAATATTTACCTTATTTCTGCTTAGGTCAAAGATACCTGTGTAGAAACCCGTGAAATGAGAGAAATATCCAAATAGATATATTAAGATGATAACTAATTACATTACAATACATATTAATCACTTTTTAATTATTTCATATCACTTAGTAATTCCCGTCATTCTCGAAAATGACATTTAAAGAGTTGATGAAATTTATTATTAGGGATAAACCAGACATTTACTAAATGAGATTTGTATAAATTATTATATTCTTGTATATTACTATATATCTATAATCAAATACATATAATTCTAAATATGTCGTATAGAATACTACTCACACATAGAAAACCTTTTTAAAAACACATATAGGTAATAAATTTGGTATCAAATAATTAGCAAACATAATCTCTACCTATTGTCTATTTTATTTTATTGCGTGTAAGTAAAATCTATACATATATTAATACTTTAAACGTTATATTAAAAAGTGGGTACTTCTTTTTTACGAAAATGCGCGAACGGAATAATATGAATCTTCGCACATTTATAGTTTATATAGAAAAAGAGTGAGAGTGATATTTTTTTTTTTAATTATGCATGAAAATATATTATAACAATAAAAATACTATAATGTATTTGACACACGCACGTATATATACTGTATTGTTTGTTGTTAAAGTCTAAAATAACAAAATATAATGAAGTGTAGTCAAGTATATATTATTTAAAAATATATTTAATATACCTATTTAAATAGAGAACATATCATAATTCAAGTTTACCTTTTTAAATGGGTTTCTGAAAAAATACTTCAAGAGATATGTTTATTTGCATTCCGTAGTGTAACAATAGATGTTTGTCGACGTAATATCATCATAAGAGCACTGTGGACCCTATTGGATATATCATTATCATAATTATCATCCTTTCAGTCATTATCTCATAATTTGTTGTATTGTGACGTTATAATGGAACATTGTATAGATTAGTATAGAATCATCTTATTATGCACTCGAAGTAGACTTTGAAAAGTCGGAAGTTTTCCTAATTTTAGATGATTTGAATTGTGTATCACTTTCCTGTCACCTAAAACATATGAAAAAAACCAATAAATTAAATAATGAGCGCTTTGCCAGATTTCCGAGACAATGTAGGTAGTAAAATAAGGTCACTGCTGCTTAAAGTTCCGCCTAACAGCCAATCAGACAGACGACAAGAAGATCTCCTCGACCGCAGAAGCGTTTGGGTCAGTCAACTTCTCACTTGTGTGGTATGTATTTACATAAAAATGATTTGGACTTCTTAAATATTGTTTATTGTTTTAATCAAAACATTATAGTATTTTTATTGTTATAATGTATTTTCATGCATAATTAAAAAAAAATTATCACTCTCACTCTTTTTCTATATAAACTATGAATGTGCGAAGATTCATATTCATTCGTTCGCGCATATTCGTAAAAAGAAGTACCCACTTTTTAATATAACGTTTAAAATAAAATAGAATAGACAATAGGTAGAGTTTATGTTTGCTAATTATTTGTATATGTACCTAGTGTAAATATACCATAATGCATAAACATGTCATTCAAAGACGCCGTTTTTGTGTTTTTTATAAAAATACATCAAAATTATCACTTTTCTGTGTATCACTTGTCTGGATTCATTTATACAGGAATGTGATACCCTTACGGGAAAGTGATAAACAATCACTTATATTCCTAATTTCCTCTTAATATTATTATACACATATATATAATAACTCCTCTTTTTTCCACAGAAACTAGAAGATCTTGTATCGTTCACTTGTTCTGACTGTGTATCGGATAAAGACTATGCAATAACAACTTAAACCAACCTATTTAGTGATTTTTTAACTGATTATTATAAAAGTTTTATTGTAATATTTGGTGCCATACTAATAATTAAGTACCTACATAAGATTTCTTAAAGTTACTACCTCGATCTCTTTAAGATAAATTTAGACTTTAATAGTCTTAAGTGCTACAAAAGCTGGTTTAAAATAGACTGTTATTATTTCTAGTCTATATTTTAGCCAAAACTAATGTTATATATTAAAATAATATTACATACCAAAACTAAGCATATTTAAACAATTGTTTTTGCGATAGAACAAATTTACTCCCCTATTGTATTGTTGTGATTACCATCCCCTTGTAATTTAGAAAAAATCTCGTAATTTCGCTAGTGTTCCATTTTCTAGTCAATACAATAGGTAATATTATTCACTCTATTTTCTTAATAAAAATATTAATATATTGTGCACTGTAATGTATTTTTTCGGGTAAACTATCGCCTTTTTAATAAAACACAGGCTTGGAGCGATCCATCCCCATTCCCCATCCAATTCAAACAGGGATCGAAATTACGATGGCCTCAGACTAAAGTCGTATACTTCAAGTGGGAGTAAGCCTTCAACAGCTCCATAAGCCCTTCCGCGGGTTTCGAGTGCATAAACGCCAACTGCGGCCATCATTAGAATAGTTTGAAAAAAAAAACATCAATCCAATAGTGTTGGATTAAAACAATTTTCCAGAGTAGATCAACCGTTCTGGTCTAGTCAATGTTCTAGTCTCACAGCCGAAGATTTAGGTATTTTTATAAAATGTAATATAGTAATACAGCATATAATTAACCAGCAGGTCCCGTGATTTCGTCCGCGTGGAATTTAATATTATTTTTCTAAAATAAAAAAAATCTGAAATAAAAGTAGCCTAAGTTACTTCTTATTACATCAGCTACCTGTCAATAAAAGTCCCATCAAAATCGGTCCAGCCATTTCAGAGATTAGCCAAAACAAACAGACAGACAGACAGCCAAAAAAAAAATATATTTTGTTGTATGTACCGTATTTATATTCATATGCATGTAGTAAAAAACAGTTATTTCAACATTACAAACAGACACTCCAATTTTATTTATATGTATAGATGTATAGATAATAATGGTACCCTTTCACGACTCTTACAACAGTTGTGGTAGTCAGAGGCGTTATCAATTGCTGATATGGTATAATAATTTCACGTATCGGGAGGAAAGCCTATCACCCTTGTTTTTCCCATCATCATCGATTATTATAAATTACTTTAACTCACGACCTTTCGCATTTAAATTGGGCTAAGAAATAACTAATAAAAATTTCTGCCTTAAAGGGATCGAAAAGAGGATTTGGGAAGTTGTATTCCGTTAATTTGAAACTCTGAATGTATTTCAGAGTTTCCAAATTATAAATTACGTCCAACTACAAAAACATATACTTTAGCATACAAACAAAGCGTTTTTATGGACTATTTGGTGCAAATTTATCCCTCAGGGCGTGACATTGGAGGTAATTTGTTTAACCTAATAAGTTATATTCTGTAAGTTTTAAATTTAACATTTCATTATGTGACATAACTTAAAAATTAATTTTAGGAAGGAAGTTATAATAATATTTTATTTAATACTAATTAGTTCTATCAGTGACTAGGACTTCATTCGGGTGAGTCACTATTTTAATATTAGTTATAAAAAAGTAATTAAACCATTTTTATAATTTAAATATGTTATCCATAGACACAATTTGACCGCTATGTTTTTTTTAGATTAAAACCGATTAAAAAAGAGTGCCAGTTAAGTTTCTTGCCAGTTCTGAACCGAAACAACCGAAGTAGCTAGCCGGGCTGAACGTTAGGGATACCGATAAAAACATGCATAATCTGCCAGAAGGTCCTATATAAATTATCAATTTAGAGATTCAATTTGACTCTTTATATAGTTGAATGAGCTACATGAAAATGTAATGTCAAATAAAACTTTCACCTGAACAGCATTACTGAACAAAGCTATGCGGTATTGGATTACAACCTTATAATCCATATATTTATATACTACTAGCTGAGCCGTGCAACTTCATCTTAACCTATTTTTTTTTAATTATAGCCTATATGTTATTATGATGTATGTAAAGTTTCATCAAAATCAGTACTTTCTGCGTGATAGAGTATCAAACATCCATACACACTAACAAACTTTCGCGTGTATAATATTTAGTAAGATAAATAAAAAAGAATACTATGTCTAAACTAAAACTAAATTAACTTAATAAATTAATTAAAAATATAGACCAAATCATCCCCGGATTTGCTACCCTTACATGGCAGACTGGCCGCTATATATTATAAAAATATACTCACGTATCTGTTTGAGATGGACCCCACAAAAGCAATATATAACTAATATAAAAACTGTCGATCGATACATTTTTACAAAACACAATACACCGAGTTCCGACACCGGCTACGACAATATTCTGCACGCCACTACCAGTGTTTCTACTAATGAATAGTATTTTATAGCTGAGTTACCTTAGAATCGAGTTATCAACGAAACGAAGATCAAGGTTAATCTTATAATAATAGTAACGCTGATACATCATTGTGTATTACCTCACATAAATAATAAATATCACAATTTCTTTTTAATATATCTGACGTCCTCGATGGTCTAGCGATTTAGCAGACTTTACTTCCGATGGTCGCGGGTTCGATTCGTCACACGGTACAAACATTAACACAATTAATATAACAGAAGTTCCATAGGAAGATAAGTTGCTGGATTTGTTTTCACAATTTTCGTTTTGTTATTACAATTGTATTAAAAGTCTTTTTGAATAACTCCATGCTGTTTTAAAGCTAGAGTCGGTAAAACATTTCAGAACCTGTGAATTACAAAGTTTCGCTTCACTTATAATATTGTATATATTATAATTATTACTAATAAATACAAATAATATTACCCAGGGATATTATTATTATTATTTGTATATTACTATTGTACAATTCACACAACGTCATCTAAGTCCCAAGGTAAGCAAAACGTGTGTTATGGGTACTAGACAACTGATATAAATTCTTAAATAAATAAATAATTATCTTGTAAATACATACATAATACATATAGAAAGCACCCAGATCGGCACACACAATCATAGTTATGAATACAAATGTTTGCACCGAGCGAGAAATGAATCCGAGAGCTTCGGAAGCAAGGCGGTGCACTAAACCTCTAGTCTACACAGGCTGTCAAAAATAAAACATTGATAAAAAAAATATCATAAACAAGTACTTTGTAGTAATTAAGTGGAGAGATTAAATATGTATTAATGAATAAATAATAAACTCAAACGGTTGCATAGAGTAGAATCTTATATATAAAATTCAAATTACCAAACTCCTCTGAAACTTTACCGATTTTTATGAAATTTTATATACATATTCAGTAGGTCTGAGAATCGGCTACTATCTATTTTTCATACCTCTAAGTGATAAGGATTGTCCACCCCTAATTTTTCTATTATTTTTCTATTACATATATCATTTCATATTATATATGAGTTTCTATATATATGTCATTAAAAAATACATACAACTCTAAATTTTCACCCTTCTATCACCAACCTCTATTTTTTTATGGCGTTATTAATTTATATGGCAAAACAACGTTTGCCGGGACAGCCAGTAGTTTTATATAGTTACTTCAGTTATTGTTCTCATGTAAACATAAACACGGTAATATCCGTTAATAATGGGTACAACCATTCCTTAACAAAACTGTACTTTAAATTTAATGTCGTGTCATCTAATGAATACATATTTATTGCATTTTGATTCCAACGGATGCAGATACGGCGGCTACTGACGGCCTCGGTGGTCTGGTAGTTTCGCTTATTTCGATAACCGTGGGTTCGATTCCTCGCACGGTGCAAACATTATTTTGTATTCATGAGTATGATTATTTGTAATGGTGTGGGTGTTTTCTATATATATGATGTAAGTATTTACAAAAAAATCTATGTATTTATTATATCCGTTGTCTAGTACCCATAACACAAGCTCTACTTACCGTGGGAATAGATGGCGCTATGTTAATTGTCCAAGGTTATTGTTGGCTAAATTTAAATGAAAATATCGATTTATCTCACGGCACACACACTTGTTTTTATTAATATGCTTTGTATCAGTCTGGGTGTTTTCTATGTATATTATGTATGTCCTCATGTCAAACTAAAATCTAGGCAACTGATATAAATACATATATGAAATATATTTTAAAGGTTTATACCGAAAGGTTGGCGAATTATCGGATGCATTACTATATTTAGACAACTGAGAATATCACGTTGCCAGGAATTTTATCGAGTTAGATTTTTACAAAGTCGGCTGTATGGATACATCTTTCTCGCCTGAAATCAGTTGTCAGACTCGCTTTATAACATACAAATATCGGTTGAAGGGTAAAATATGGAAGTGAAATTACCGGATACGAAGGCAAAACATCTTAATCCTCTAGAATTGTACGCATGAGTGATACTACTGATGTCACATAATAACTTCTTTTTTTTATTATATAGTATTACATATATAAATATTACTGTAAATGTTTTACTTCGTCCGTGGATAAGTTTGTCAAGTTTGGCAATTCACGACGAGCAGAATCTATACTCATGGTGTTGGCCGCAACTAGTTTATAGCTGTAGCGGAAAAGAAGTACCAGAGTTTGTACAAAGTCTTAGTAATTAAGTAATCGGAAGATTTGCTTTTATTTTGTTTATTATTTATATTGTTAACCAGGAATTAGGACATTTTCTCTACGTACGTCCATGTAAAGCCGGGGCAAGGGCCTAGTACTACATAAAAATACATCAAGTATTTAAAAAACTACGTGATTAACATACGTCCATTGCGGTTTTTATAATAAAAATAATCACAATCTATTTTTGGCGTGTTTTTCTCTGCGGTCCGTATTCGTCCGCTCTAAGGTTTTGCTTGGCAATTGCGTCAGTAGCCATGGAATCTTTTGACAATGGTAATATTAATACATCTCTGTTGAATAAAAAAAATGCTTGACGGAACCTACTTAAGTATGTATAATAAACAATATAGATATTAATTAAAATTCTAATGTTTCTTTATAGCGATGTGAATTTTTTTTATTTGTTTCTATCTACGTAGGTAAAAATAGATAGAAACAAACAAAAAATCGCAGATAGTAAGTTTAATTGTTTTTATTTTTTTATTAACTAAAGTGAATCTCCCATTACTATGTTATATATATATAATTTCATTTCACAAAAAAATAACTTCAATTATTAACAAACACAGCTATGTTTAATTTTTTATTACGGTTTTATAATCATTATTCATCATACCAAGTACATTGTTAGATTATGCTACTAAAAACTACATTCTTATATACTACATATTATACGTTGGGACTATACTGAAGACTTGTATTTAAAAATCAAACTAAATACTGAATTGATAAAACGAATACCGAAGAAAACATACGTACATCGTAATTTTATTGCGTAGACACATTTCAGCCAGCCGCAAATCCGTTTTTTTTATTTAATTGGTAAAAAGGATGTGATATGGCAGATTATAGAGTAGAAGTAGAAGTCATAATATCTTTGTCCTTCGAAATTGCATTGTATCTCATTCATTTATTATTTTTACAGTTCCAAGGGCGACACCCTTATGATATCCAAATTGTTGTTCTTGTTTTATATATAATATCTGTTGCGCCTGACCCTCAGATAAACTGTTATAATATATGTCCTTCAATTTACACGAAAAATATTACATTAAAGGTCTTGTCGATTCTGTCAATATTTATTTACTTTTTATGCGATTTTTCAAATGCGTACGTCCATGCAAAATTTGTCCTCACAATTAAAACACGACAAAAAAGAATTAACTAATACTATACTCAGATAAGTGCAATCGTTGTGAAGTGATGCGTTTACATAGATTCGTCAATAGATTTTTATTTACCTACATAGATTATTTAATTTTATGACTTAAGAATCTACGTGAGACGTGAATTTGAATTTATACAACTTATAATAATTACTTAACAACTATAACTTTAGATTTACACTACATACAAGTTACTTAAATTCAAAACAAGGAAACTTTTACGTGTAAAGTCTGCGTGGGTATCTTTAGCTCACCTCATTATTTCCCCAGTAGCTTGCTAGCAGCTAGCAACTGCTGTGGGAAAAAATAGGAGTCACAATATACATATAGCGTAATATACCTAGATACGAGTACGTGTATAATCACATATTAAACATTGTAACAAAGGTTCACTTGACACCAATGATCATAATGCAGGAAAAATATTACATTCCTAAAAAAATAACTGCTGATTTGGATTTAGATCAGATTTAGCTAATTCCGACCAAACTATGTTCTTTTACGGACCGTGTTAATTCTGTGACACATTGTAGAGTAGACAACAAAACTTTGTGCCAATTTCAATATTTGACTAGCTCTCCAGTGACCGTAAACAGAATTAGCAAATAAATTTTTAAGTACTAGTATGACGACGTTGTATTTTGAGAGATGGCAGACTCGCCCCATATTTCATTATATTTTAAGCTGAAGTGAATACAAAAGCATACGTCGCGTCCGAATAATAAAATAAATTAGAATTAGATTAATTAGAAAAATATATATAGTTTACTCTTGCAATATTGGGTTTACCTACTTCAGTGGATTCTAATCCGAAACCTGAGTATGCTATTAGAAAAATCCTATACTATAGTACAGGCTATAGTCTCTAGAGAAAACTCGAGATATGTTCAGTTTATTAGAAAAGAAACGGGGCATCCCACATGTAAGTGATTTCCTTATAACAGCTAAACAAAGTTACCTAAATGAAGAAACATATATGTGTATCACATTTATTTATTCAGTTTGTCCTGACAAAATATTTTTATTTGCAAACAGCAACAATCCAGAGTATTATAGAGTCGTAATTAATAGAAATGTTACGTCCATTAGAATGTAATCGTATATCTATTAGCTACACTAACAGGCTTTGGCTGGGCAGGCAACAGACTTTGGCTGAGCAGGGAGAAGAATACGTGCGGTGAAGGTAAGTGTTGGCGTACGTTGGGAAAGGGGGTTTTACTTCGTTTGCCGACATACGTTAACTATCTACACCCGAGATAGTTAACGTACAAGTACAACGTTACAAGTCCCCGAAACTGCTCAGATTTTCCCTCTCTGATAAAAATAGTCTCGGGTACTGCTCGGAGTTTCCATCTCTGACACACGATAGTCCCGGCTCCCGTACGGTGAATCAATGAAATGCTAAAAAGTAGAACTATTTTATATATCACATTTGATCTATTTTTAAAATTCCTTATAACATTTTCCGCTCATTTGTTAGGTATAACGATATACTTAAAAAAACTATTACTTCAATTACAATATCAAATTTGAATAGAACAATATACAATATATTATTTTCTTTTTAACAGTTTCTGTAGATGTGCGTCAAAATTTTAAAATAAAATGACCGGCTTAATATTGTTTAAGGAAAAGTGAAACCTGTTCTTCTTGTTACAAGTAAATAAACAAGTAAGTACCTAATCCACATTAAACCAGAAAGCATATATATAATATTATTCTGCGGAAAATATTATTCGATGACAACCGTGAGAACAGGTTTATTAATACAATTTGCGCTTGACGACCAGCTTTGGCGATCATTTTTAAATTAGGAAAACTCTAGCTAGAGTCGTTGAAAATACTTAAAGAGACAAAGAGATTAAAGAGAGTACTAATGAGAACTTATAACACTTATTCAAAGAAACATTCATCAGTTGACATATTTAGTAATAGTTATTGCAAATTTCGCAGATGTCTCCATAGTATTATAAGTTCTAGTTGAATCAGTACAGGTTTTTTATAGGTAGAATTTTAAGTTGTTTTTTATGTTTTGTTAATTGTTAATTGTAAGCACAAATTTGTCACATAAATGTCATAGTTGCCTATAATTAAGGTTGCGCTTAGTATAATAAATAGATTGTAATGGATTATATATAATGTAACAGTGTTGGTGTAAACCTGGATGGTGACCTAATAAAAAAAAAAAGACAGACAAAGCTTTGTCTCTATTTAATGTATTTTCACCAACAAACAAGAATTTCCTGCTATTTTGTTTTAAAGAATCTAGTCTAGTTCTACGGTAGCGAAATTGCAATAGGTTCAAAGACATTACCGCAGTTCTCCAAAATGGCTACACAGTAGGAATTCCCAATCATAATGGGGTCATGAGATACTTAGTGCTATCATGTTGGTGCTGTATATGATTTGACACGCATACTTACACAAAAAACAATAAATATTTTTTAAAGTAATTTAAACAATAAAACAGTCCAATTTGTTGTTATTTCACTAGCTTTCTATCTACATATAATAACAAGAATAAGCTTCTAAAATAATATCACTAGGTTAAACCCAATGCGTAGAAAAACACAGATTAATTAATTTATAGAGACAAGTACCAGAACTCGTAACACAATAATAATTGTGTTTAGAGATTTCAACTTCAATAGTAATCATTATAGTTTTTCTGTATCTACCTAATGTGTTTAAATATATTATGACTAATTCTGCTTGGCGCCATCTATATGATTTATTAAATATGTACAATAGATATTAAGAGTCGGAATGTAATCGATCAAAAAATAGCAAAGTGTAAAATTACTGCACAGTCCAATGACTTATCAATAGATGGCGCTACCTACAATTTAGTCGTTAGAGCTCTAATTAGGAACTTGTAATGAATAGCCACTCTTATTATTGTACATTTTGAGTACTTCCATGCCAATTCTATAGGATCGCAATATTCTAAAATACTCAGAGTCTCGAACAAACGGCTTAAAGACGATCCCGATGATAAATATAACTATTATCATAATAAAAAAAACGTTTACCATTTTCTAGCAGGTGGATCGCCTTGTCGTCCTGGTTGTCTAAAGTAACCTAATTAAATTTTAACAATTCCTAAAACTAAACCCTTAATTGTCTGCATATAGTAATCTCTCTATACTTCTAAGGGCAACAAATTGTTAGTAAGGAGGACTAGATCGACCTTTTTTTGGATACAATATAGATTAACTCGCCGCAGTGTGTTAAGTGACCTGACTCATTCCTCCTTTCTTCATTCATCCTTCTACTTCTCGCCAGTGTATATATATATATACATATGTGCAAGCGAGAGCACAATCCCTATGTATTCATTCAAGAAATGTAAATATGAATAGATATATACAAGCATGTTTGTGCCTATGTAAATAATATCTTAAATTCAATACGATTACTAATCTTTTCCCCAAATAGGTCAGCGGCGTTGTGTTTTTATTACGCCTACCTGTACACAATGAAAATGTTATACACAGAGCAATATTGTATTGAATGGGTCATTAACTAATAATGAATACAACAAAATAAACGAGATAAGTAAATACTATTGTGACGCTGACGTACCGTACCCTCTCCACGATACCCTTTGCTCCTCTTATCGCGTCGCATATATCCAACCGTATTTGCTACATCAATACATCCTTTACTCAATTATTAGGTACATTGCCTCTGTTGCGACCGCAGGACACAATAATCTGTGATAGCTTCACAGGATGCAATTCAATACTGTAGTGTTATGTGCTCTCATATTTGCGATACCCGGACAAAGTCAAGGTTAGTTGTAATATTATAATTCGATATCACTTAAAGAATAGTCTGAATGATCATTTTAATCAATAAGTAGACAGTATTTTTGGATCTTCACAGTTTATTCTTTGTCCACGTGTTTGTATTTTCATTATTTTGCTAAAGTGCATGTGTGTTAAAATATGAGTAGGTAATATGACCTATCTACCGTTGAGTTCTAGATTCCTGCTGTTTTATGTAACATAAAAATTCACATAAATTTAATTTATGGATCTTTATCTATTCGTAGTAATTGTAATTGGAACTTTAATGTCTCTGAAATATGTACATGTAATTTCACATCATCTTATATACAGGCATTATATATTAGAGCTCTATTAGGTATTGTAGGCTATATTATGTTGATGCTTCTTTTAAGAAATAAACAAATCGAAATGTAAATAGGAATTGATATCATTGCTTTTGTGGGATACCTATTCACCACAGGATATTAAATTGTGATATGATAAAAAATGAAATAACCATCCGCGGTCCTTCTATTATAATTAAATTCATTTAATTAAATATTAATATGAGATAAATTTATCGCATATTTTTGTCATTTATAGCAACCAAACTTTTACGTTAAAAATGGATTTTAAAACATATATAAATCAGAATTTACTTTTGTTAGTGTTTCACATGAACTTTTTAATATTCCTATTGCCTATTCAGTACTGGTATAAAATTGTGATTACAATATTGCACATCAAACAAGATGTTTGGCGTCTGAAGCGTGGCAGAGGTACACACGCAGACTACTTCGTAGTTAGGTTAATGTCTGTTGGTCAGTCTGATGGTAAACATAATCATCATTATCTGCTTCTTCCATATCCCATTTATTTGGAATCGATGTACAATTATTATAGTTTTTACTTATTTTACAGATGATTCCGAACAGACTACAATTGACCCAAGGCTGGAAGAGGGAGAGAAGAAGATGAGCGAGAGTATTCTGGAGATCTTGGAACACTTCAAGCAACCTGATCCCGTGGGACTCCCGGGTGCTAAAGTTCCCGATCCATATTCTGTTCCTGACATGAAACAGTCACTGGCATTTGGCACTGTCCTGTATTTTAAAAATACCGCAGTTCACGGCATTAGTAAATTTCGGATTGAGTATATAAATGCAGAAATATCAGCTATGGAGGTAAATTGCATATTATTTAATTACTGACACTCATACGTACTTACGAGCACAGATAATATAATATTACATACTTACGAGTATTTTTAATGGTTGATAGTGGAATGGAGCATCTGTCTGTACTATCGGTTTGCGCTGGCGGGCTACCAGTAAAAGATGACAAGATGCTCTGATGAGGTCAGTTAGCCCATCGTGACAAATTCACCAGGAATTAATCACGATGATTTCCCAGGGGAACTGAGTGGAAGTCAACCTGGTACATTGCCAGCAAAGGGAATATTTATTGCTTACTCATCTGTTATACGATAATGGCAATGTTTATATGTCGGATGATATATAGGTTTATAATTCGCATATTGTTTCAAGAGCAAATCCTGAGTCCAAAGGATTTACTAATACTTTAATTCTGCTTTTTAGTGTCTTTGTTATTTATGAACATCAATGTTAAATCTAAAGAATTAAAAAAAAATAGAACTATGATTGAAAATCTATGTTACCTACATACCTACGTAGATATATATAATACGGATAATAAAAAATGTATCCACAATACTATTAATAAAAAGAAATAATGAAAATGGCTAATATTCAATAGTTTTATTAAAGTTTTATATTTTATCAATGACTAATTTCATTTATAAGTATATTGAGTAGGTACTTTAGTTCGCAAAATAACCACTAAAAATCTGTTTTGCATTTCAGGTCCAAGCAATAATGACAATAGACAAGTTGCAAGCACGTGGTAATTACACGTTGTCAACTTGGGTAAACAGAGCCCAAGGACCGTTTACAGTAGACGTCTCTGGACTCAAAGTACTTGCAAAGGCAAATCTCGGTGTTGAGAGAGACGGCAAGCTGAGAGCTCAAAACATGCATATAGACATTGGATTTACCAACATTGCTGTCAACTTCGAAAATCTCGGTGTACTAGGTAGTATATTCCAGGGATTTATTAACTCTGTGGGACCTTTTGTATTTGACTCAATTAAACCATACATTCTTAAGGAAGCCTACACGAAAATGAGAGTTGAGATTAATACTAAATTAGATGAAGTCGCTGGAGATATGCAATTCCCAAATTCCATTTCACCATTAGATATGATAATCGCAGACGCCAGAAAGAAAGTACAAGAAATGGAAATGGATCCTTACAAGGTTAAAGACTACAACACAACTATGGGTATCTTCTCCGTTTCATTATCACGTACATGGGTTTTAGGAATATCATCCTTTGAACGTGTTGGTAATATCACTTTAAAAATTGAAAACAATACCGTTATCGCCGACTTTGAAATCGGTACTCAGAAGCTTGAGGGTATGACTCAGTGGGAAATCACGGCTGTCAGCGGTGTTATGTCAAGAGCAGGAACAGCTTCATTTTCAGTTGAATACGTCAGTGGGAGAATGATTGTAGGACAACCGCTTGATACAAGAAAACGGCCACAAATGAGGGATTTAGATCTTGAAGTTGGTAACATACAGGTTCGCTGTGAAGGAGCAGGTACTTTAGATTATATTATAGAAGCTGTAGTTAATATTCTTCCAAATTTACTGAGATATCAAATAATGGACGCTCTCGAAGGACCACTTAAAGAAAAAATACAACAAGAATTGGATAAAATAAACGTAGAGGATACAATAAAACAAGAATTACATAAAGTAGATGAAATCCAACAACAAGGATTTACGCTTTCGTATCTAAAAACTAATGATGTACAGGAAGAGCCACATGATGAAGATGATTTCTTCAATTTTTGATTGAGATTAATAAATTAGATTTAAGATGCACTCCAAATGTTAATGCACCAAATAACGCAATAAGCAAAAAATATATTTTGTAATCAGATCGTATTACATAAATTTATCTGGCAACGAAAAAACTGATTTTAATCTCATTATTGACGATATCTACTGATCAGATCTTGATCAAATTAATATATGAGAACTACCAACTTACAAATAAAAATAAATCTAGATCAAAGAGATTGGAGAAAGTTCTAAGGTTACTTAAAAAAACAATTGAATTTAGACCCTCTTCCTTTTTTCAAGAATGCAAAGTCGTACTCGTAGTAAAACCAAGGATCACAGAAAAAATGATTTTTAAAAAATCCTCACATAGATAGTTTTAGTATGTTTACAAAATTTAATATTTGATGAAATGACAAAGAATTGGTTCTTTGTCATTTCATCATTCCTATTGTTTATTTATGTTAGATATTTGTAAATAAATGTAATTAGGGCAATATTAATTATCATAGTCATAATTACTTATGTAACACTGACATACAAGTTAGTCCTTAATTCTTCACGTCTAGCGACATTTGTACGATAATCAAATAAATAATTAAGATTAAGAAATAAATTAATTAGATAGATATTGGTAGTTTTATTCCCTACCATTATTACTGCTGTGCGATTTTTTTTGTAAAAATAAGCTAACATTGCCATTGCCACTATTAACAGCAATACAACACGTTATTATGTGACACCCGTGATATCACTTATTCCAAAATACGAGTATCCCATACTTCTTCTGTAATTCCATGCTTCTTCTTCTGCCATCTTATTCTGTAAATTTCTCTTTCAAAGGTGAGACAAAGCAGCTGTATTTTGTTTGAAACGAGAAAACACAGCTTACAAAGTTAGCTGTAACTGAAATAGAGGAGACTGAAGTACCAGCTAAGTCGGAGTTTTTGTTATTTTTTATTGTTACGAAATCTACCTAGGTATTCTATAACCGATGATATTGGACATGAGATAGCAATTGAAACTTCATGCATCTAGTTAAACACAATGATGAAAGTACCGTATATGCATTTAACAAAAACTTAATTTTAAATTATATAGTAGTATACATGTAGAATTTATTATCTATTATGAACTTAAGATGGTAACTCCAAAAAAAGCAATAAAAATAATTTGCATAAAAAATGGTAACAGTGTCAAAATCATATTACCTACTTATTTATGTAATATAACATTAACATGGCTATAATTCTTGTATAATTTAAGTTAGCAATAGCAAAATATATTATTTTTTTTCTGTTGCACTGCACTGGTGCACTGGTTTATTAAATAAGTACCTACGCAAAAACACTAATGCAAAAACAAGATCTGAACCTAGTCCACAAGTTAACTATATGCCTCTATAAATAAAAACCTGTCTATAAATAATCTACAAATAAAAAACCTCTAAAAGTTTACGACAAATAAATAAATCGCACAATTTATAATAACAATAATAAAATTAATAATAAAAGAGCGATTATTTTTTTCTAAAAATAACTGACCCAAAATTACCATTTCATCAATCTATTTTGTAGGCGATTGATTTTTATCGGTCGGCTCTCTCGATCAACATAAAAAGTCGCCTGCATTCAAACCGGTAACTAACGGTATTTATATGACGTAGCACTTAATAAGTATCCCTCTTACTTATAACCGCTAAATAAATGTATTTGGTAGCTAAATGTTTAGTCGTTTTTAAAATAATGAATCATTAGATGCCAACAGTTTCATTATTCGCCGAAGTGCGTGATTTTTTAACTAGCGAAGTCGGTGTCAAAATTGTTAGAGTTATTGATTATATAGAAATTATTACTGACATCAAATAATAACAACCCTATTAACAGTAATGAATGTTCTCGACAGTCAAACGATTTAACATATTGCCATAATCCCCATACAATAGAAATTAATAATATTTGTGTCCATATGTACATATATGATTTTTTATTGATTTGTTGTTACAAAAAATGTATTTAAATATCATTTGTCAGTTGTCTAGTAACGGTAGGACAAGCTCACACAACATAGGTTTCGGACTATATGGCGCTTTGTAAATTATCCAGGGCAATTTATCCTAACTTGCTAAAGATATCAGTTCTTGTCTATACACGTAATATTTTTTTTAAAATTCGACCTGACATGGTATATTACTAGCAACAGGGTCACTAGACTCTCTTACTTACGATTCCTTCCCCACCTCCCCCACACAAAATTCTAGCTGAACGGACTTTTTCTGCCTTGATTTTTATAACGATTCTTTGAAATAATTACCCTACAGAACCCTCTGGAAACTAGGTAATAACAAAAACTTCTGATATTTATCTATATATAATATTTACGGTCAACGCATCGCGTAGAAAGGAGTGGGCACGGCAAAGAGGCTGCATTGAAACATTACTTGAGCTGTAGCACAACGCGCTGCACGCTAGCCGGTTTAAAGAAAAAAATAATTGTCTATGGTGTATAGAATAAAAAAGGCGCGAATCTTGATTTAATTATTTTTATTCGTTAGTACTAAGTACTTTTGTAAATTAGTTTTAAGATAAGAGTAACAATGAAGAATTTACAAGTGATATTGTCAATTTTTGCGGCTATGATCGCACGAAGCACGTCGGACACAAGTAAGTGACAGACATTGAGAAGAAAGTATTCTACTTTCTTCGTGCGGTGTGTTCTTTCCTTACGTACGTTTTTGTGTCATTTATTTTATATACATTATTCTATTTACTTCTACAATGTCATAATTTTTCACTCAATATTAACACGACATAAATAACAATAAGAAACTCATTAATTCGAAATTCGAATCGACAATCGAAAATCGAAAATATTGTTTTTTCTTTTTCTTTCAACAAACAAAGTAGCAAACTTTTAAAAATAGAAGATTTTAGACATATTTTATATAAATTGCGTATATGTGCTTGCACCAATATGAACAAATATCATTATGCTTTTTTTAAACAACTGTGGTAAAATTTTGGTATAAAGAAATTATCTACTTTCCTCATTATACATTCAAAGATAATTAATAAATTAATTTTAATTGGCTTCCACTTAACGAAAACATCTCATTCAACTATTTGTACGCATGTATGTATTATTGTGCTAAAAAAAATACGGTAATTATTATAAACTTAGTATGTCACATAAAAAAATCCTATCGATTGAAGAAGTCATCAACAAAAACAGTGCAGAATTAAGAAACGAAATATATCAATTTGGGAGTTTTATCCTCTGTGAAATCCAGTAATCATAAAACCGTTCTAAAAATAAAATAATCCATTACAAAATGAATCATATAATTATATCAGATCATAAGCAACGCATAATATAATCATCAATCACATTTTTTTATTCAGGTGGATTGAGATATAATTTTTCTTCTTTCTCTCGTAGCCCGGTAGTGAAACAAAAATTAAAAAATAGCATAATATCAATATCACACAGCAAGAATATCTTAAAATCAGCCAAAAATATTATATATGGTAGAAATAGATAGAAATAATCTTTATTCAAATAAACTCATTACAAGCACTTTTGAATAGTCATATTTTGATTCTACCACTCATTCGGAATGCAGATTCATCATAAGAAGAATGAGCAAGAAACTTGTATGTTGCTCTTTTTAATAGATGTTTTTTTTATATAAATAATTACAGTGTAACAAGTAAGAGGCATGCGATAATCAACATAGAAATCGCTACGCACTCATTATTAGTGTAATCAGATAATATTGTCAGTGCTATGTATTTAAAATTTTTCTACAAAAACATTATTATCGTTAACGAATTCTTCAATTTTATAGTAAGCTTTTTTTTTTGGTATATTACTAGTGCTAAAAATCTCACTGTAGGTATACCAGTACATATTACAAAAACAAATAAACATTATTGCATATTATACACTGTTATATAAGTTATTGTTATAAATAGTTAAGATATACTTAATAATTAAAATAATGTTTGTAATTTTAACTAACTAGGCTAATTTACACATAAAATAAACGTTTTCGTAATTGGTAACGAATATTATTCTTCTTTCATAGCATTACGTATTACTATTTTATTAGATGTGTATTTATAATGCCAAAATACTTAATGTAATGCCTAATTATAGAATGTTTAACTGATATAAGATTATTTTCCACTCTTACTTAATGCAGGGTTTCATGACGAAATTACCAGAAATTTTTAAAATAAACTCTATAATCCCTGAATAGCAGCTACTGACAAAATTGTTTATTTTTAATATAAACAATTATAATTATAATAATTTTATTTATTTCTCCTCACAAACATTAAAGGCAACAAATATATGTAGTATTTTGCATAACAAATGTAATAAGCACATACAATTACTTTTAATTAATTTAATTTATAATAATACCGGAAACTGTATTATTGAATTTATGTATAATTTTATTTGTAAGAGTAGAGTTTCTTGTCTCTATTTTCCGAACTGACGACAAATTTTACTTTACCTTTGACCTTAGTACCTACATAAATGAATACATCTTTATAAATTGAGAGTCAATGCAGGCTGAATATGCATGAAAATGTGCGACTGGAAATAAATTCTGACGAGTAAGTGCAAACGTTACGGTCTGATTCAGTTGATCAACCTCATCTTCATATTGCAAGTTCAACATCCTATAACGTCCTATGGAAATAGTTCTTAGAAGAACGTACATACTTATGTACCAACGTGATCTACAACGCATTTTTACATTAGACAACAACTCTTCGTTAGAATAACGGAGTTATAGAATTGTTTTAAAATATATAAAACTTAAAGAGAAATAAATAAATTATTTTAGTAATATAGCATTATAGAATAATATAGAAAGTATTATAGAATATCCTTTTCATTCACAGAATATCGTAAAGCCGATTACAAAACCTATATTTTACAATAACAGTAATTACGAATGAAGACACAGAGTAATAAAGAACTAATTATTGTTATTAATTGATTGAGTTTTGGATTGTATACTCGTATGTTTCGAAGCAAGGGAACTGAGAGTTCTCCTGCTGTGTTTAATCTCAATATCGATGTCTCTCCTATCTAAACTGAATTGGCTTGAAATTTATATAGAGACAAAGTAACCTGCTCATAGATTGTCACCAAATTCTAGGCGTATAGAAAAAGTCATTGTCATATTTTGTTACCTATTACATCATACATGCAGTTATTATTTTTAATAACTCGAGGACTGTCATCGTGAAAGTTCACTTTCACTTGTATTGTCCGGTTTTCCTTTACTTTCTTCCGAGACAGTCCTTGAAACTTGAAATCATTCAATATATTTCTTTTTATTGAATATTGCACCAGCCTGCGCTAACCGTTTACTCTGGCGAGACACCAGTGGAGGATGATAAGATGATCATGAGGTCAAGTCAGTCAGCTCAAGGATTTATCATGATGGTTTCCAGGGTGAACCGCGTGGAGGTCAACCTGACCAGGTACATTGCTAGCAATAAGATCATCAGTCCACATTTCAAATAATTCCCTTTCCGCTCTGGGTTTAATACACGTGATTCCTATTACGCATCTTGGAACAAGGATGTAAATATAAGGTAGAATTGGAAAAGTAAATATGGAAACAGGGTCAATGTATATATCAATATAACTAATTTATTTGCTAAATATTTAACGTACAGGTGGCATGTGATGATTGATGTTTAATGCCAAAGTGAAAATGAAAATCTATTTGAAGTTCTTATCTAAAAATGTTTAGAGATTTGATAAAAATCTCATTACAATTAAATGGTATTTAAACACTTTTACCAAAATTGTTTTTATAATTTCAATATAGCTTAATTTTATATATTTTGGCACTGATCTTTATTTATGTATATCTGTTCTGTAGTTAAGTTTTTGTTCTCTTACATTGTTATTAATTCAAGTAACATCGAAAATAATTAGAAAACGAATTACGAAATGGAAACTTCTGAATTATATTTATTTATTTATTTATTTATTTATTTTCGGAAAACCAAGGCTATTTACAAACATAGTTATAAACATAATTAAATGATAACGGCCACTTATAGGTTTCCACGGATAGAAACGTAATAAAAAAAAAAAAAAATTACAGTGCTAACACGAGAGGCGTGTTTGTGTTATAAATACTCATAAAATCATATATCAAACAATAACAATCCACTAAATTAAAACATATGCTGAAATTAACAAACAAACATTTTTGAATAATGGAAATGCATATAAGTAACATTAAATTCAATACCTATAACTCAAAGAATTGCCTGCTCATCACGGCCCTCGCTAAAGATATTCCATCGGAAAACAAATCAATATCTAACACCCTACTTAACCTATTGAAGTTATTACTTGCTCGCCACATATAACAGTTTTGCCTATAGTTAGATGATACAGAAGGTATAGAAATAGAAGGAGTAAATCTGGTACGTTTAGCTGGTACATTAAAATTAAATTTTGAAAGTAACTCAGGACAGTCTATGTCACCAGAGGCTACTTTGATCAAGTAAATGATATCAGCAATTTCACGGCGTTTCTCAAGGGTAAGTAAGTGGTGTTTTTTACACATACTAATATAATGTTTAGAGTCATATTGCTGTTTGATACGGTAGGCAAGAAAACGGACAAATTTTTTCTGCACATTTTCGATACGTGCAATGTACGTATCATATCTGGGGTTCCAAATCTGAGATGCATACTCCAACTTACTGCGCACCAGTGTACAGTAAAGTATTTTTAAAGTTTTAGCTTGTACGAAGCAGCTGGAGTTACGCATAACAAATCCCAGGGCGCGCATTGCATTATTAACAATATTGTTAATATGTGTGTCGAATATTAATTTAGAATCGAGTGTTATTCCTAAATCATTTATCTGCGATACTTTTTTTAGCTGTTGACCCTTAAGCAAATAATTATTATGAATAGAGTTAAGTTTGCGTGTAAATGTAACCGAAAAACACTTCGAAGGGTTCAAATCTAACTTGTTAGTGACGCAGTAGTTGTCTAGTCTATGTAAGTCAGACTGAATAGCTGCATTATCAGATAGATTTGATATTTTAGAAAAAATTTTCATGTCATCAGCAAAACACAGGAGTTTAGAGAAATGAAAGCATTTACTGATGTCATTGACGAAAATAATAAATAATAAAGGACCCAATAATGAACCCTGAGGAATGCCGCTGGGGATAGAAACCCAGCTTGAAACATAATTATTGACTACAACAGCTTGAGAACGATTATCAATGTATGACGAGAACCATCTAAGAAGATCGCCCCTAATTCCTACATACTGAAGCTTAGATAAAAGCAAACAATGATCAATGCGATCGAATGCTTTACTATAATCTGTATAAATAACGTCTACTTGGTGTCCATCATCCATGGCTTCTGTCAAATAGTCATTAAATAGAACAAGATTAGACACTGTAGACCGTCCACTGATAAACCCGTGTTGAAAGTGATGTAGGGAATTTTTTACCGCTGGATAGAGTTGATTATATATTAATCTTTCAAATATTTTAGCTATGTGACATAATTTAGAAATAGGCCTATAATTTTCAACTCTATTCTTTGGGCCTTTTTTGTGAACAGGGGTTATAAAGGCAGATTTCCAAATTTTAGG